TCCTGATACCCGAGGGTTACATAAGTGTCATGCTATATAGACCAAATGGCGATGACGTCCACGAAAATGGTACCATACATCAGAGGGCATGGTTACCTTAGGGAGAGATGATATCATAGTTTGATACACTAACATACTATAACCAACATATAAAATACTGAATTATTTTTCATAAAAATTATGCCCATAATACTATTTCAGTTAGGGTTTTGCATTTGTGTAATATTATGTGAAACAAACAGTAAATTTATCATGAGACATTTTATCACAGATTTTGAAATAATGTTACAGTAACATGTAATGTATTATCTTTTACATTTATACAAAGAGCATCAAATTCTATTATTCATTTTTGACAGTTATAAAACGTGTTGAATCTCAAAAGTAACAGATTTTGAGCAAATATACTCGAAATGTGACTAAAGATCAAAGGTTAGATAATTATGTACCTAGCTTAACCTTTTATGATAAACTTGAGAGGAAAAACGATTGAACATTTAAGAAATTTACTAAAGTCTTATGTTTATCTAAACAAAATTGATTCCACTAAGAAAGATATATAAACCTTAAAAGTAAAAATCATGTCAGATAATCACCAACGTGATTAGATTTATCTCTAGAGACCATTGTTCAAAGATGATGCTTATTATAATTAGTTGGTATTATTTCTACTGTATAACAGTTTTAGTTTTCATATCTTAAACGTCAACAAAATTGTTATAAGGTTTATGAAAATTAATAAAGTCAATTACAGTAAAAGAAATAAGATAAAGTCATAACACATTATCACATGGTTCTCCCCTACAGTGTTGCTTTGTTTGAACAGTGTTATTCAGGATCCATAGGAGGATGCTGTTACTATAGGCAGGTGATGTTACTAAGGCTACTATAGGGGAGGATGTTATTGAGGTTTTATAGGTGCACAGTGTTACCAAAGGTCTCAGGAAAACATGTTTGACGACAGCTTCGAAGTCTAATACACCGAGACTGACAGTGTATGTGGCCAAGGGTTTGTAAAAGGTAGGCAGATACTGCGATAATCTTAGTTTCCCTTGTACAGTATACATAGTCGCAAAATAAAACTTATGTTTAATCTAGGCTAAATGTAAAATGATTTTTTAGCTACTGGAACGTCTGAATGGATAACAATAAGACTGTTAATATTTTTTATATGTAGTAAGTAGTTCACTTAATGTTCAAAATGAAGATACTTACAGAAGGTAAGATTTTCTACAATAGTTATCCTTTAAACTTTAACCATCAACTTATAAAACTAAATATAAGATTTAAATAGTTGTCCTTTTCAGGATGAATAGATGTTAATTATAGAAATGAAAAACGTCAGGAGATAGAGAAAGTATGAATTAGATACAGAAGTGAAACTAATGATTAGTGAAGTGTTTTATAGACAGATAATAGTTCAAATAATGGATAATATGTGTACATATAATAGTTGTCTCGTTAAATTATTGGTTTTACCTTGGACATATACTTAAATTTACACATTGGTGACATGTAGAAAAACAATTTGTCTCATAGCAATACAATGCATATATATATATATATATATACCCTTAGTATGCCCACCCGCCTATGACTTAACCTTTTATGATAAACTATAGATACATCCA